GTGTCCAAGTCCCTTCCTGCGTGGGAGCAAGCAGGTCTGTGTGTCCTGACAGGGGACCATGCATTGGAGGTGGGTCCAAAGGACTGAAGCATGTGCTTTTTGCCCTTCTGCAGACCAGAAACATGGGGAACAGTAGTACCAGAAAAAACAACATGTTAGGGAAAACCAGCACTTCTCATTTTTTTCCTAAACTCTTGCTTTCTGTGATGTTTCCACATCACTGCACGGAGCTCTTGCTGCCGTTGTCATTTTGTAAGTAGTGCCATGTATGCCCTTCTGAGTCCTGCTGTCATTTTAGGGTTACTCTGACGAGCTGTCACCACACGATAAAATATGTCTGTCATTGTGTTTGCTGCTTTGTAGAGTTGTACATCGCTGTGGTTTGCGTCGTGCAGAGGCATTATGCCCTCGCATAGTGTAGCTATGCCCTTGTGACACCTAGCAAAGGGAGAAGTCCTCAATGCCTCCTGAGAAGGAAAACCAGGATACATGCAACACAGCCTGTACAGCCCTGGTATGCTACAAGGAAGGGACCACACAAAAGTGATCTGATAGGGACACCTGGCTTTTCATCTCTGTCTTCAGTGCCTTGTAGGAGCGCTGTTGCAGCACTGTTACCTGCTGCACGGGCTGTGAAGACAGTGTGTTGTCTCAGAAAGGGAGCGTGCTGTTGTATTACCGCAGCCCAGGCCTGGGCAAGATGTTACTGCAGTCCATTCCAGCTGGGGACTCATCAGGTACATCTACATCCACGCTTATGTTTTGTGCAAGCTTGTTCTTATCTGGTCTGAACCTCCACCTCCGTACTGCCTTGAAGCCCACACTGAAGCTTTCAGTATTACACTCAGATAGAAAGCAAAGCCCATCTAGAACTCGCTCTGTGGATGACTTCTTTCTCTCAGTCAGGGCAGCCTGCGCATCTAGGGAACAAAGAAGGTCACCATGTGAAAAGTTACAGACAGGAGAGCTGCCAAAAAAAGAGATTTATGAGATCGGAGCCTAGAGTGGTTTGTGCCTGCAGGTGAGTTTCGAGTAGAGTAGGGCAGGGTCACGACTGCTGAAATCATGAGACTTACTGAGGAAATGTGCAGTGTTGAGGAACAACACTTATCATTTTTGTTACGCCCATCCAGATGGGAGAACTGGAAGCTGTGCATCTGTGGATGCAGCCATGCACTTACAGGCATCCCAGTGGCACCATCATGCCCACTGTAACGCCAGCTGGGCCACCTGGAAACGGGTGGAGAGACCTTCTGCATCGATGGCGAGGGTGTGAGCCCAACCACGCTTTGCAGGTTGGTCCCAGCTGTAAATGGGGACACAGCCTTCAGTCGCCTGTGGGGACTCAGCGTGCCTCTTCCAGCCCTTGGAAGAGAGCAGAACCGGGGTTGCTGAGCTGAGGGTCATGTATCCAGACGGTACCGCTCCTCGCCTGGCGAGAGGACCATCATGGCTTGGAGACTGCACCGCTGCCTGCTAGTGTGAGATCAGGGCTGTGCTGGGGCTGGCCTGCTGCCTCCTGGCTTCGAGAGCTGCGGGCAATGCTGTCAGGCAGCGCAGACACCTCCGCGCTCTCCGAGCCACCGGTGTGGGCATTCTTTGCTACCCATGCGTTTCATCCCGAACAGGCCAGGTTTGACGGACCCTGTGCTGGAGGCCAGGTGGGCCCTATTAGCTTAGTCTTTTTTTATTAGGCTGATCGTCTCGTTGAAAAAGTCAAGGCTTGTGTTTTTAGGTACAAAGGGGGTTGGTTCAGCTGCCAGAGCCTCAGGTGAGCATCTGAACTGCTGGAGATGGCTGCAGTGCTGGAGGAGCTCATGATGGACACTTACCAGTGTGCTGCTTTGTCCCACCTGGGGATCAGGATAATCCCTCTGCTCCGGACACCCATGTGAGTGGGAAGAGGAGCAGACTTGGGTACTCAAACAGTTATTTAAGGAGAAAGGTCTGGACTGCAGGAGCAGGGGTTGGTTTTGGTTGAGGGGACTACGCCAAGCACTTTATCAGGATCGTTACATCGTCCACCGCTAACCCTGCGCTCATTTTCCCTTGTACAGCTCCCCAAACTGACTTCTCCTTAAGCCCTGATGATCTGTTGTTTAGCAGACGGATGGGCCTCAACCGGCTCCCAAGGTACGCTGGCAGTTCAGGAACAGGACAGGAGCAACTCCATGCACCGGGATATGGACCAAGGCTTTTCTGGAGTTAATGTAGTTTTGTGCACACAAGCACAAGCTACGGGAAGGAAAGCGGCACTAGCACGGGCCTTCGTCACTCCTGTTTGTGTGAGGATGATGGTGAAGGAGCAGGCGTGACACCGGTGGTGGCCCACACCTGCTGCCACAGCTGCCTGGGGCTGCGTCCCCGCTCCAGGGGAGAGACGGGGTTGTGGGGAGGAAGGTTTCCCCCAGCTCACAGGTGTTGTCTCTGCCGTTGGTGCTACCTGTCTTTTCTCTGTCAGTAACGGCGTGATGCTGGCGTGACTGCTACAGAGAAGCCCCCTCCTCCAGTAACTGAGTGTCCGCCACGGGGACCCTTTCCCACAGCCCAGTGCCCCTCTCTGCCTCTCCCCAGCAAGCCCAGCGCAGGCGAAGAAACCTGGACTGCAGTCAGCGACAGCTGTAGGAACTCAAGGCCTTTTTGACCCGCCGCTAGCAGACGGTAGAATAACTTCTCTATATACAAGGCTTCTGTGTACATATTTTAACAGTATTTTTCTTTCAGGACATTCTGGCATCTCTGCAACACGCTTTTCCTTCCATCCCAAGTTTCCTGGGCTTTTCACTCCCTCTTCCCTCCTCCTTGAGCCAACAAAGAATCATTTTGGTGAGAACCATTTTTGGTGGCTTTCTCAGAAGCATCTCTTCGCACTCTGTGGGCTTGCTCAGTCCAAGGCTGGTTTGTTCTCCTAGGAAATGACTTTGTCACCCCCTTCCCAAACTTACCTTCTAGATCGACATTCACAACTTCTTCAGGCTCTGATTTCCAGAAGCTCTCCTGAACTGCCTTCCTGACAAAATTAGTCCTGAATTATCCCACTGCTTGTAGTGTTTTCACTTGTGCATGGGTTTGTTGTGGGAGAGGCGAAGACCACAGGCTGAGGAATAGGTCTGGGGGGTACTGTAGGGCTCGACTGCCCAGGAAAGGTGAACGAGGATGGACAGGTTTCACAGAGAGCAGAGGGCTGGTGCATTAAGGAAGGCTTGTGGCAGCCAGGGAGGTGGAAGATAGTAAGAATCAGGATTCCACATCCTAGCAGGAAAGGGAGAAATGTGAATCTGAACCAGACAAGAGTGCCTCAGAAAAAGTTTTGTCCAGCTTGCAAAAAAAAAAACCCCAACCCTGAAGTAATTTATTGTAGCTCAGGCAGAAAAAATAAGCTCATAAAGCTGGTTTCACAAACAGGTCAATTTAAGTGCATGAGCAAAATACAAGCATATATATGTATATGTATATATATCTTCTGTTCAGTGTCTCTCATTGTAGAACTGGGGATCAGTCATAAACCTTTAGGGTTTCTTGCCTTGTCCATCAACTCCTAGCCAGACAACATCCCTCTGTGGCATTAGACTGGGGAAATGATGAAGGAATAAAGAATTGTATCAAAACAGGAGAAAGGGAGATGGATTCACAGAGCACTATGGGCTGGCAGGTGTGTAGGTACAGGCAGAGACTTCATCAGTCCTTCTGACTCCAGTGCTGCAATACTACTTATTCAACCGGCTGGAAGAGAAAAGTATGTGAGTACCAGTATTGTAGAGGTGAAATGCTTCACTCAGATACCTCGAAGCCAGCCAACCCCCCACTTTTTTGCGTAGTGTAGAGAATGACTGCCTGCCTCTGTTGCTGAGGATGCAAACGGTTACTTGTGCATCCACATGGCTGCGGTTTAGGTTTCAGTTACACTGAGCTGCTTCCTGGGCAAAGAGAGTTCAAGAACAACCGTATCAGCACTTGCATTGCACAGATTTATCTAGTTTTTGATGTAGCTGTGTGGGCTTTGTCCTCTCCTTATGGGGATTATTTTTTAACCCTGATAAAAAGTAGGTGAAAACGAGGTGAATTCTTTGACACTTGTTATGCTAACCAACTCTTCACCACATATACATCCCAGCTATGAAGCAGTGTTTGCCAATAAACATCTCACTGAATTCTCAGTCACAGTGAAAAAAAAATTGGTGAAACTATCACAGTTTGCCACTGTCACCAGTGAAAATTAAGCAGAAGGCCAGTTCTACACCTATACCTTCATTGAACTTGTTCATGCAATCATTTACACTGTCCTTAGCTCTCCAACTGCAGTGACAGAATAGCCATCAGTGTTTCTCCACAGCTGCTTCTGATGCCTGATACCATATAAGCTTAAAGACATGGAAAAGGGCAGCTTCTCTGCTGAGAAATCCGTGCTCCCATGAAAAGGGCCAGGACATGATGGTGTATTTCATATCACCCAAGGCCTTTGGGAGATGGCATGTTTCACAGTGTTCTGTGATTTTCTCTTTTCTTTCCTTGCTCCAAGGAAGTTATTGGCAATTTTCACAGATTGCAGTCCAGCACTGTGCTAGTAGAGCTGGAATTACATTATGAACATCATGGATTTTTAAAATTCGGGTTTCATCCTTGAGCTTGGTTGTGTGCCTTCCACCTTCACAACCTTGATACCCAGGTCCCAGATCCAGTGTGGAACCTATCAAAGGACTCTGGAGCTCCTGCTTGGGTTTGGCTAACATCTCTCAACATCAAGGTAATTCAACTGAAACCTCTCTGCTCAGAAGTTTCCCAGCACAGTGCTACCATGGGTTTGGGGCATAACAGGAAATTCATTAAACATGGCTCATAACTCTTAAGCATGACTTAATATGAGTAAGAGCTGAAAATGCTGAAATGCAGCTGTACTGTAGCACCAAGCAGGCTCAAGCTCCATTTCTCCCCACTTGACCACCCATCTCCCCGGTCTTGAAACCAGAGTCTTTGCCCACTGTGGGTGCTCTCATTGCCACTTACTGTTGACACTGACATGTCTTGTTTTCCAGCAAGTATTGTCTTGCTCGTGCCATCCTTTTTGCCCGTTGCTGCCAGGAGAGAAGGAATAAGTAACGATTGGATATTTTTATGCTTCAAATGCTTTCCTCTGAAGTGGTAGTAAAGTAGTGTCTGACATTTGCAGACTGTCCATCTCTAACCATTTGCTTTGAGTCTAAGGATTGACCCTTTATCTGTTCTGTGCCGCACCCAAACAGAAAATCAAACGCCTCCTATGGTTTGGGGAGACTGTCATCTCTTCACCTTTCACAGGGACCAGGGCACTCACCCTTCTCCGCTGCCAGCTTATACCACTGATGATGCCCAGGCATGCAAGACCAAACACCAATAAACTGCCTCCAATACTTGCTCCAATTATCACATAGATAATCCAAACAGGAGCTTCCTCTGTGGAAGGAGAAAAGCATTCAGACACAGAAACAAAGAGAATTTTAAGGCTTTTGGACGGAGGCAGGGATGTGATGCTAATTTCCATACCCACGTGGTAATTAAGGCTGATCTTCTTGTCATTTTCTTCTATGAGGTGACAGTTCCACAGCCCTGCAGCACTGACATTCACCTCCACTTTTACTTCATTCTGCTTTGACTTCTTGATGTCCGTCTGAGTCCCATTCACACGTTCCCAGCGCAAGTGGGCATTGGATGGGAGTGGACTAGAGACCTGGCAGGTCAGGGTCATCTCGGCCCCTCTGGGGAGTGGCCCAGCAGGGTTAGCTGAGACTGTAAAGGTAAGAAAAGGACATGTGAGTGAGAGGATGGGAAGATGGGTCCACCCACACTCTTGTGGCTTCCAGGTGTCTACAGCTCCTCATCTTTTGACCCACTTCTCCTTCTCTCACCTTTCATCACCACCAGCTCTATCTTGCTCTGCACATATCTTCTATTGTATGCCAGCTGGCACTGGTACTGCCCAGAGTGGTTGAAATGGACTTTGGGGAGTTTCAGTTCTATGGTACTTTCAGGTTTTCTTATCTCATACTGAAAGCGGCTGCTTTTTTTGGTCTCATGCTGCTCTCCTCGTGCTGTGACGTTGAAATCAAGTAGCTCATGAGCAGTTGCACTTTCCTGTTGTTTCCAATTCAGCTGTCCTGTGAAACCTTCTTTCCATTTTATTTTCCGGAAGTTCAGATGCCATGACAAGATGACAGTGCTATCAGCAGTTGCATACTTTCTTTCCAAATCTGTATTCTGAAAACCTGAATTCAGAAGAGACAAGGAATACAGAGGCAGGGAGATCCATGGCCACACTTCCCTGTGTCCACCCTTGATCTGGAGAGATGCACGCTGTGCTCAGTTGAAAGAGGACTTGGAGAAAAGCCATGAGATACCCCAGGAAGGATAAACAGTTAGTGTCTGAGAACAGGTTTAAAGAGCCAAAGCTCCCAAGCTCACCAGAGCTGAGAAGAACAGACCCCAAGGAGAGGAGGATCCTCTCCTCACCAAGCCGGGAGAGAAAAGTGGGAGCAAGTGTGGAATAGAGTTCAGGCAGCAGAGCAATCCCCAAGCTGCAGTGTTGGAAGCCCTGGGAAATCGACCCTGGAGCACCATCGCTTGGGATGCTGCAAAGTAAAAACTCAGCTCATGAGCTGGAGGGAGCAATGGTTCCCGAGGCAGTGTGTGAGTTGCATTTTTGTTGTCACATACCTAATACCTTCACATCAAAGGAGATGTTCCAATTAATCAATGGAGAGGCTGATTGGACGTGACACATCCAGGTCCCGCTGTCCGTAGCCTCCAGTTGCTTTAACTCCAGTATGTATTTTTCTTGGGTCTTTTCTAAGATTCTTGGTCTTACTATGCTATTGTTACTGTTAAACAATGTGATGTTGAGATCTGGCAGAGTGTGGGATGAATTTTGCATTAAAGTCAGCTCAGGGACTTCATTTGACAGGAAGTGCCCATCATAAGAGACCGTCACTGTAAAAAGAAAAAGTGCAGCCAGGAAGTCAACTCCTTTTCCTGCGAGAGAGGGACATGTGTCACAGCAAAGAGAATACGGAGACTTTGTGCCCTGGAGATGGAGGAGAAATGAACTATGATAGCCCAGGCCAGAAGAAATGGCAGCTGGATAAAGAATCCCAGCAGAGATATCTCTCCGAGCTCTACGCTCCACTCACCCCTCCACTTCTCATGGATAAAAGCCCTCTAATCACTCACATTTAAAGACATGCAGTGAGACAGTGACTCTGTGAGAGCCAGATTCACAGATGTAGGTGCCAGCATCGGAGAGCTTTAAGTCCAACACCCTCAGGTCTTTACTGTTGGAGTTGATTTCAGATCGATCGGTCATGGCAGCTTTGCCTTTTGAAAAAATAAGCTTGGTTAGGAGGGAAGAGGTTTCTGAGCCATATACTGGGGAGAAGGGGTGATGAATTGGAAGCCTTACCTTTGAAATGTGTATCTTCAAATGACCTTATAACAGCCTTATCATACTTCCAGGTCACACGTTTCTCATGAGGTATGTCTCTGCATTTCAGGATCACCTCCTGTCCTGCAATCCCAATCTCTGGTTTGTTTTGCTGAGCCATAATGGGGATCAGACCTGAAAGTCAATACCCACCAAAAAAGGCATAGATCCACTTTCTGAAGTGAATATTCCCCATCCCTCCAGAAAGACACAGATATTTCTCCTCCCTTTCCCGGATACTGGAAAGATTATCCTCAATTTCTGAAATTTTCACTCCTTTGTCTCATCAATCAATCAATCAATGCCTTTTCAGCTCCACAGCTTCCCTCCCCTCCACTTTAGGCTCTTTGCCTGGCTAATGGCTATTCTGTTTCACATACATTCAGAAATAGGGAAAATACCAGTGGTTGTGGTGGATTCAACATAATTCATAATTTTGAGATGTCAACAGTTTTACTGAAACAACCTTTTTCCACTGGACAAAATTTAGTTGTCGTACTGGTAGCAAAGGCAGGACAGCATATGCCAGCCCTCCTTCACTTCCCAGCAAGATCTGAGGCAAATTTGCTCACCCCTTCTTCCAATTTTTGCATGGAGCATGACTGAAAGCCCAGGAAAATGAAAGGGTGAAGTAAAAAAGAAAGAAAGAAGGCTGGCCTAATGTCAGGTTCCTGTTCTTGGGATGAGGGCTATGTGACAGTAAAAGAAGTAGGATGTATAATGTTGAAGAAACATTAGGAGTGGTTTCTTGGAAGAACCACTTCCTTTCCTTCACTATAAGGAGGATTTCTGCAGGAGACCTTAAGAAGGAGATGGAGTTGCCAGAGGTACAATTGGGAATAAGGGGGTTGTGGTCTCCTACCACACTCTTGGTAACCTCTCAGAGCTGCCTAACCTGCAGATCCCCCAGGTGACCCTAGAACTAGAGCGCCACAGAAGTGCAAAATAAAAAGTTTACATGAATTTAATGGAGGGTTTTCCACAAGTTACATATTCCCCCAAAAGCATAGGTAGTCTGCAACATTGCCAATACAGATTTTCAATAATCACACATTGGACCACAGAAAATGATGATTTTGTCTTAAACTGTGAAATTATAAATCTTTTGCTTTGCTTTTGGTTCTAGGGTGCCTAAAAGATTTCCAATCTTTCTTCTGCAACCAGAGGAATCAAAGCTGAGTATCTGAGAAATGCAGGCTTGGCCTTATTCTGTTGCCCTCCTTTCTTGGAAAATGAGCGCTAAAAAGTCCACCAAACCTTACAACATCAGCAGTCAAACTAAGCAAGCCGGTAGCATCACATTTGTAAGGGCAAATCTGTGATGAGAAACACATGGTTTTGCCCAGGCAGATGGAAGCAGTGTGGAAGGTGCTATTTTCCACTTTGTGCTTGGTGTGCACCCCGGCTCTCAGAGGAACCCCACTCCTGCATCTCTACAGGACGGCTCCCCAAACCTGGTGATGCTCCACACCCCCTGGTTTCGGCCAGTAGGCTCAGCAGGCAGACTGGGAACAACCTGACTCCCAAAGCTTGAGCTGTCCATGCTGCCTCTGAAATAACGGGACATGGATGTAGGGAGCCTCTCAGCTTCTAGCCCCTGGTCTAATCTCCACTGCATGGCCCCACAGAGAGCTGTTGGGCAGTGCAGGGTAAGCCAGACAAGGTAAGAAGGCAGCTGTCACAGCTTCATGGCTGGAATGAGCCTGCTCTAAACCGTGTGAGGTATGTTGCATGGCAAATCAGGAGGACCCTAAAAACACCCCAAATGTTATGAGGCTTGTGGAAAGGCTGTAAGAACCGGGAGGGTTCGCTGAGCTGAGGACTCACCCAGATGCAGAACCAAGAAGACGGCAAGTGTGGTGCTCACCACTGTGCTGCATGACTCCATCGCTGCGGGAACGCTCCTCCCTGTGGCAGACTGCAGGGCTGGAAATGCTGTCGCTGCCAAGGGATGCTATCCTGGAAGATGCAAATGCTCTGTTAATACTGGTTGATTTTCAGACCTCAGTGGATGGGCCCCCATGTTCCCAGTCAGCACCCACCATCCTTCAGTGCAGCGAAGTGGAAACTCATCGGTAAGGTCACCAGAGCCCTGTGTTTCAGCAAAGAATCCAGCTGCAGTGTTCCCTCTAGAGTTTGGTATTAAACATTTCATCTTACTCATCCCTAGGTTTCTGGCATTCATTGGACTGCAGATGTTTATATTGCCAAGAGTTCTGTGCCTTTTTACTTCTCTATGGTGGGTTATCATCACTCTTGCAGCAATTAAGGCTGAACACATACAGGGCTGCGTTAGCAAGAGCACAGCCAGCAGACTGAGGGAAGTAATTATTTCCCTCTATTTGGCACATCTGAGGTCTCATCTAGGATACAGGATCGAGTTTTGGGCCCCCAGCACAAGACGGATGCCAACAAACTGGGCAGAGTCCAATGGAGGGCTACTGGGATGGTGAGGAGGTTGGAGCATATACAGGGAGAGACAGAAAGATGGGTTTGTTAGGGAGAGGAGAGCCAAGGTGGGATCTAATTTCAGTCTCCCATTATCTAAAGGATGTTACCTAGAAGAAGGAGCCACTTTCTTCTCAGATGTGCACAGGAGAGGAGCAGCCATAGGTTGCAGCAAGGAACCGTTGACTAGATAGAAGGAAAAATTTCTTGCTGCTGAAGGTGGTTCAGCATTGGAATAGATGCCAAGAGATGCCAAGCAGTCCCTGCCCTTGGAGATGTTCAGATGTTCCCTGGACAAGGCCCCGAGCAACATGTTGTAGTTTTAGAGTCAACCCAACTGTGAGCAGGAGGTTGGACTGGAGACCTCTGGAGGTCCCTTGCCATCTAAATATTTCTGTGTGATTTTGTGATTCTATGATTAAGGCCATCTTTATGCTGTTATTAATATTTTTCTTTAGTTTGTTTTTTGCCTACTTATCTCTTACCTTGAAAATCTCAATAACCACCAAGTCTGACGTTGTTGGAAAGACTTGCTTGAATTCTTAGGACTATTCAACAAAAAGTCTGGGGAGAAGGGAGGAATGAGGTTGCGTTGATGGTAACAACACCGTAAGTGGGAACTGGGAGCTAACTATCGTGTTAAGGTGAGTTATCAAATTAGATGAAGTATCTGACTGTAGCAGAGACCAAGTGCTGGTATCAGCTGCAGCTGGGTGGCAAGGTGAAGGGGACCATGGCTGCTGGTGCGAGGAGACTACCAAGCTGTCTATCCCTAAACCAAGGCATATATCACAAAAAGGAAGCCAAGCAGGTTAACTGATTTGGGGAGTGAGTAAAAACAGTGAGGCGACCTCCCTTCTCTAAAAGCAGGCCCTCCCCGTGCCAAGAGCATGACAGACTGAAGGCTGGGGTCATAATGGGATTGAACTAAAAAGAAATGCAAGAATAATTTTATACAATATTTATATGTATTATGTGCAATATTAAGTATAATATATTCTATAAGAGGATAATTTAATATTGAAATTAATGTAAATCATCAGAGCACACAAAACTATCAAAGAGTAGATGAAAACATCCGCACTACATTTACAGGGAGATCAGGTCAGCATGACCTACAATCCGGAGGCTAGACAGGTGTACACACATGCACATATGAAAAATACAGGTGCAAGAGCAAGGCAGCAGCCATGTGCACCATCAGAAGAGAAATAGATGGCAAAGGCACAGTCAGAGAAGATTTGTGGCTTGCCTTGTGCAAAGCAAAAAACCCATCCCAGCCCCAGGGAATATTTGCATGAGCTGTTTTGTGCGAAAACAGTAAAACAAAGGAGCCAGTGCGTGTCGTTGGAGATCACTCCTAACAAGATGCAGCAGCAGTGAGCAAGCAGTTTGCTGGGCTACGCTACAGAATAAAGAAAGGGGCAACAACAAGGCATCTCTGTATGTCTCACTCAGAAGAAACATCCATAACCGAGAACTGGCATAAGGCCCCAAGTAAGATCCATTCCTGAGGTGACAGAAGAAACCTCGTCCCCAGTGTGAACACTCATGTCACCTGTCCCAGTGGGACCAGCAGGAAAAGTTAGCCCCCAATCTAAAGTGATATCTACGAATTAACAGGGTCAGCGCTGGGTTTCAAATATTTTAAGTCATTAAACTTCATATAAAACCTGAAGGTAATGAACAGGTAAAAATTAGTGAAATTGCTGAGTCACACACCATCATTTTGTTTTGGCTGGGAATGTCTATTTTCCTGTCATCTTACAGCTTCAGTTTGTTCTTCACCTTCTTGCTATCTGGTTATTGAGCAAAATGACACAACCAGAGCACCATGGGACTAGTGAACTGCTGACCTTGCACAGCTTGGTAGATGCAGATTGATGCATCTTTGTTTTTCTGTTTCTTCTCACAGTTTCACACGTTCTGCATTCCTACTTCATTCACACTAATCTTTGTATTTCTGTGGCAGATCTCTACAATATGATGTTTACCACCTACATGTTACAAGTCAGTGGGGAAAATGGGTTGCCTTCAGCTAGCATTTCTTTCACACTCATTCTCTCTCTCCCTGTTTATCTCTACTTCTCGTGCATGCCACTTCCTATTTTTCCCCTGTCTTTCTATCTCCTTCTGTATCCCTCCAGGCCAGATCACAGGCAATGCCACTCTGGAGTTTACGGATCTCGGTAAGCAAGGCTCTGCTATGTTAACTGAGCAAGCTGCTCTCATTAGCACATGCCTGCAGCAGACCCACAGCCTCCTTACAGCCAGCCCAGCTGTATCTTATGGTGGTACTCATAAATTAAGTGGTGTCAGGGAATGTTCCCAGGCACTGGAACACACTCATCAGTCCTGTTAAATTGCTAGAACATTTCCTGACACATTTTTGGCCCAGGACAACTCTCACTCTCCTGAGCAACTCCTGGGATGCATTTAGGTGTTAGCATGGGCCAGGGACCACTCCCATTAGGCAGCTGGCATGTAGCCAGTTCATTTTGGAGGTTAAGTGAGTTTAATAACCCAGACCATCTCATGCCAGTTGGCCTCTGTGCCAGAAACAGTCCAGGCATACTTGATTTATTAGCATGTCTAGCAATGGAGGAGCAGGGCTCCCTCCCAGGTTGTCTTGGGTTTGTGTGGTGGAGTTTTGGTAGCAGGAGAGGGGCTGTAGGGCCGTGCAGAACTGCAGCCCACGGGAAGGACCCATGCCAGAGAAGATTGTGGAGGGCTGTCTTCCGTGGGAGGGACCCTACACTGCAGAAGGGGAAGAGTATGAGGAGGAAGGAGCGACAGAGAGAATGTGTGACAAACTGACCGCAACCCCCATTGCCCATCACTCTGCAGTGCTGGTGGGGAGGAGGTAGAGAATTTGGGGGTAAAGTTGAGCCTGGGAAGAAAGGAGGCATGGGGGGAAGTTGTTTTAAGATTTGGGTTTACTTTTCATTATCCTGTTTTGATATGATTGGTAATGAATTAAATTGATTTGAGAAGTAAAACCAAACCTTAGAACACCTTCCCCCCACCCCTCCCTCCTTCCCGGCTCAACTCCACTCCCGGTTCTCTCCACCTACTCCCTCCAGTGGCGCAGGGGGACAGGGAACGGGGCTTGGGGTCAGTTCATTACACGTTGTCTCTGCTGCTCCTTCCTCCTCAGGGGGAGGGCTCCTCACTCATCCCCTGCTCCTGCGTGGGGTCCCTCCCATGGGACACAGCCCTTCATGAACTTCTCCAACGTGGGTCCTTTCCACGGGCTGCAGTCCTTCAGGCACAAACTGCTCCAGCACCTCCTCCCCCTCCTCCTTCACCGACCTCGGTATCTGCAGAGGGGTTTCTCTCACATCCCACTTCCCAAACCCGGCTGCAGGTTCCCCTTCTCAAATCTGTTCTCCCAGAGGCGCTGCCACCATCACTGATGTTCTCAGCCTTGGCCGGAGACATGTCCGACTTGGAGCCGGGGAAGCTTCTAGCAGCTTCTCACAGGAGCCACCCCTGCGGCCCCTTTTCTGCTACCAAAACCCCACCACGCAAACCCAAAACACAAGTGAACATTGATTTCCATTTCATTTTAGCTCCCCTCTCTTATTAAACTGGTTTAATTTCCTTCTTGACTTATTTTAATAATCCCTGCCTCCCTGAGGGATAGGAAAAGGAGAGCTGAGGTAGTGAGTGGTCTTGCTCCGGGGAATAATGCCCACAGGACCAAGTCTGGCCTGGAGAACATCTGCTCGGGAGAGGGGCTGGCAGGCCCTCGCTCCTTCCAGTACCGAGCCCCAGCAGGCAATGGCTGCAGAGAGCTCTCCCCGAGGCTGGCACTGGCATGGCACAGGAGGAAACCGAAATTTAAAAAAAAACAGAACCAAAAAACTCAGCAGCCGCTACGGATGCAGAGCAGGCCATCTCCCTCTCTCAGTGCGTTCCTCTGCCTCTTTCATGCAGTGTGGTTTTCTTGTTTTCTTCTCTCGCTCTTGCTTGTGGCTGTGCTTTTGATCTGGCAGCAGCTCGCTCTGCCGGGTCGGGGGGGGCCTCCCGGCCCTTCAGCCCCACAAGGTCTCCACACCGCCGCCACTGCTGCTGCACTGCATTTTCCCTTGCGGTGCCTGCCAGGCGGCAGCTGAGGGACACAGCTGCCTCTTGTCCCTGCACGTCAAGCAGTTGGGCTTGGTTTGGGGGCTCTGGGTTACAGAGGATCACCTCTCTCTCAGTTTAAACATCTAAAGCAAAGCTGATCCGGCTCTTTTAGTGAGTAGCGGTTTCTCTGAAATTACTTATTAACATTAAAGCAAACATATGTGAGCAGCAGGCAGGGTAAGAGACCAAATGCAACAAAAACGGCCAGCAGAGAGCGAAGAGAGGATAGCAGTGAAGGTCATTTCACGGCCCCCACTGTCCCCCCCAGACTGGCCGACGCTGCTTTCGTTTCCCCTTGAGCGCGTCTGG